AACCTAAACCATCTAGGTACCCATTTAAAAACACACAAAAAGTTTCATCAATATCGGTCGAGCTGTTTTTGAGTTTTAGCGAGACTAACGGACAGCAATTTATTTTTATATATAGAGATTGTAATTGTTATTTTAAGTAAATAACATTATTATTTAATAATAGACAAGGTAATTAAAACAAAAGTTATCTCAACCTTTCGGGTGTTGACTTTTACTACATATCAGCAGACAGCATGTGGGGAATCAGTCCATTAATTTTACTTTGAGATCGGCTTGGGAATGGTAAAGTAATAATCAATAATATATATTTGCAAGTTTTTATGTTCGGTTCCTTATTATGGAATACTTTGGACTGAAGTAGCCTCATACCATCAAATGGACAAACAACTCATTTGCACATCTAAAGTTTGCCAATGGAAATCACCAGTCAAGCGAATAAAAGTTGTAGAAGTATTTCGCGAGACAGTTCTAATATTAACAATTTTAATCCGAAATATTGCGCGCCTGCTATAAATTTCTTCTAACTTCTGCTTACAGTACGGGAGCAACCAGCATGATTTTTTATAGAAGTGACAAACTCATAACACCTAACGATAAGTAGATACCGTGGCCCATAGAAACCTACATCTATTCTTTATTAGGAATCAAAATATACATGCGCCGCTGAAAACCAAGATGAAATGCCGCGTTACCAGTAAAAAGGGTATCTATGTCACTACATTCATCATATGAGACACAGATTTGTAATGCAGCTATTTTACACTGGTATTCTATGAGAGCGTGGTCCCTCCTCGGTCGAGCCGACCGATTTGTGCTACAAATATAATATAGCTGCAGCATGACGCTGCCACAAACATATAATGTAACTTATAGAACTTACAACAAGTTTACAATAAGTAAAATTTAATATAAGCCGGTTAGGCGGGTCGTTGAACGTAGAAGCGATACTCTAGTTTCAAAATGTTGCTCCCCATCACCAGTCTGTGAGACTTGGGTTCAGCATTTTTAGTGATTAATGCCAAATTTCCTTGTTGTTACATCACTATTTTATCAAAAATGTAAGCATTAATACGTGTTTCTTTTTTCCCTTGAAATAAACTACATATTATTTTTACTGTACAGGATCAGTACAAGAAGTTAATTGAAACAATATTGGATTAGCTATCTTGTTTGTAATAATCTTATGGTGGGTGCGATGTCTCACGTGTTTCTAATGTCACTTCATAGAGTATCAGACAATGTATGAATCAAATTAATAAAGGTCAATAACATGAAACAAGATTATCTTTCCTAATAAGAAGAAATGTGTAGCTATTTTACGTTCAGTACTGTGTATATTAAAACCTAACAACATGTGTATAATCTTTTAACACTAAAAACTTCATAAGAAAAACATTTTCTAATCACGTTTATTTTGAACTAAATATGTAAATAAATTACTTAAACTGGTAACGGTCATCTTGTGATTGACGGCTGATCCGCCTTTCAAGAGAATTCCTTTTACAATGTGGAAGGTCAGTCGAGCAGTATCACGAGCTGACAAAGCAGAAGAAGAAAGAAATAAAAAAAAAACAATATTTAAAATGTGTTTGTCTTGTTTTTTTTTTCTCAAATTAGCTACTTACGTCAAAAACGTCAGCACTGGAAACGTTAAGAGATAAAGTAAATTTAAACATGATAAATTCCGTAAAATTTGTTTAACGTACTACACATTTATTAAAACTAATGTTACGGTATTTTTAATAGAATTTGCGTTAATAAAATATCAATGTTCCATCAAGGAAGTCTATGTCTATGCACGTGGTATTTGGATTCTTAATCGAGAATAGATGTAGGTGTCTATGTGCTTCCATCAAGCGGACTGTGCGCTCTATTTTCCCTTAATTTTATAATAAATAGTCATTTCATTCGTAGTGAATTCAAGCAATATGCACAAAAACAACATTAAGAACACTAACTGCGGTGCGTGAAATCAAACAGAGCTGGCACAGAGTTGACTGTAGTAGTCACCTTATAGTGGATACTACAGTCAATTAATTTAAGTTTTGATTTTTTTTTGAAACCAATAAGTATAGTTTGTTAAGTTTTATATAGAAGTAGTGCAACGATCTACTTTAAGGAACCTTTTGACGACTCAGCACTCAGCACACGTTACCATTTCTATCATTACGACAGAAATAAAATCAAAGGTCCCAAAAATCTGTTTTATTTCATCTTTAAAAAAATCAAAAACCCGACTGCAAAAAAGACATAATATATATTTTTGCAATTGCCTTTTAATTTCCTTTATTTTGGTTATCTACTCAATAGATTTGGTTAATTTTTTTTATTAACGTATTACTATTTTGTACCAAAAATCCGCCATTTTGTATATTTTTTTCATAAAGTTATCTAAGGACACTTGAGTTTCTAGGACGAATAAAACGATACCTTAATTGTCGAAATCCATCTAGCCGTTTGGAAGATACGAAGAAGAAGATACGGTAATAAAGAAATTTACAAACTTACAAGATACGCGCGAAAAACATAACCCTACCTTGGCAGTCGGGTAATAAATCAATACAGTTTTATTTTTAAAAACCAGGTAGTTTGGGTTTGGTTTGGGCCAAAATCAATTATTAAAATTTTTCTGTTAAGAATTTCTCAATAGCAGGCCGGAGTCTAGCCCACCGGAAGTTGGCGGTGTTTCACCGCAGAGCCTCGGACAGTACGTAAAGTCGTTGGTACTGCGCCTTATCTCTCCGGTAGTGTCAGAATGCCGTCTCATCAGGGTATGAAAGTGACGGATTAGAGAATGCACCTGTATTTGCGCACACACTCGTGCTCTATAAATCTGTCCTACGCAGATGGCTAGTTTCCATTGAGACATGCCGCTGTGATTGAAACTTGGTCTAGATGACATTATCTATCGACTTGCTGCATGTCTTACCAGGTCATCACTAAAACCAGTGGGGAGCCCTAAACTTTGGTTATTAGTACGAAGCTGCCACTTCATGATGCTTCTTTCCAATCGGTTGTCAGACTTTCTAACTATATGATCGGCTGGTAGATTCGTTGGACTATGTCAGTTACTCTAGTTCTGCTACGAATGTCATTGTTTCAGCTCGTTACCTCGGATAAACTGCATTTTGAAGTATGTGAGCAAACCACGAACGAACGTCGTTGAAACTAGTTAGTTGCAGTCTTAAGTGCTACAAATAAATATAGCTCTCAAAATGTTTTTGAATTATCAAAGAGAGCTATGTTTTTATTAAAAAGTGTCGTCTGTCAATGCCCCTGTTAAAATTAAATAGGAAAAGAGTGTAGGCGCTTCGAATTGCAATTCATCGGTGACAGTACAATATCCGACAATACAATTATCTCTCTTGTAATGTGGCATACTATCAGCAACACCGTCGTCAAAGTAAAATATTAAAATAATTAGTTTAATTCATCTTTTATTTGCCACCAAATGTTAACTAAAGACAGTTGTCTAAATAGTTTATTTTTTTTTTTCAAAATAGACACGATCCTCCTTATGCACTTTGCTCTAACTAAAAGATAGTTTTTAAACATATAAAGCTTTTCTACAATACTGTACTGATGCATTGTACGCCGTGATTTATACGAGTCGGAGGAGGTCCTTCATCAACAAGTTAAATCGATTGAGTTCATCGGCTCGTTAGTCACTGGCAGTACCAAAATTGAGCTGCGAGTATTTTACTCTCGCTTGTCAGAGACATTCAAATGTAATGAAACGCAATTTAATAAGTATCACAAAAAGTAGAACATTTAAATAATGTCATATTTCAGAGTAACAATTTTAAATAATATTTTAAATTTATAGTACACTAGCTGTACCCCTCGACTTCACCTGCGTGGAGTTATTTTTCACGGAACGCTAAAATAAAAGCAGCCCAAGTTACTCCTTATAACATTAGCTATCTTCCAGTGTGTATAAATATTGACAAATATTTACATTAATATTTATACAATACTAACGTTACTCAATTTGATTTTCAGGCAATTTTTTAAATTTTTCTCTACGTAAGAACCATCTTCATACTTCAAGGAATATTATAAAAAAAGAATTAGCGAAATCGGTTCAGCTTCTCTCGAGATTTGCCGCTTAGCAACACATTCAGCGATTCATTTTTATATTATAGATACTGCCACAGATATTCATTAATCCTTATTTTTCATTTATTCATTAATTACAACAAAGTTCACGTCTGAACATAGGCCGCCTTTAAAGATTAATAAATGGAAGATATAAATGTAATAGTTGCCACGTTTGATAGGCAGGTTGATAACTGCAGTTTTATTACTTTTAAGCTGTCATCATCGGTGTGGTTGATTATTAAGAAAATCATCATGTGGGTGTCGTAAGAGGCGACAGAGGGAAATCGACACAGGAAATGGGCACCAAGATTTTTCTGAAAAGAACTTCATAACGATAAAAAAAAAACTTCGGTTATCAACCGCCTGCCAGCTAGGCGGCGTAGCACCTATCACAAATATTCTTTTTTTTACAGGATAGGGTAACAAACGAGCACACAGTCCCACCTGATGGTAAGTGGTTGCTATGGCCCATAGACATCTACTACTATAATTGTTTGCGGATCAAATGTAGATCCGTTATCACCCGTGAGGACTAAGATGGAATGCCTCTTTTCCAGTAAAAAGGATCTCCAGTTCTCTACACTCACCATACGAAACACTACACTACACTCATCATACCGCTAGAATTACTAGCATTAAATCTAGCCATGCTTTCTTCTTTGCTTCAACTACCACCCGTACCTCATCATCCCACCACACCACGTGTTATTTTCCTTTCATTCGTTCTCTTACTTACACCATATACTTCGGTAGCTGCATCCACCAAACCTTTCTTGACGTTATACCACACAGTCTTCAAGTCTAAATCATTCATACACAATTTAGCCATACCACTTATATCTTCTCTCAGTCTACATTTGAACTTCTCTTTCACACTTCATCTTGTAACCTCTCTGTTCTTATACGCTGTAACGCAGTGGTAGACACTGATGTCCGATGCCGCCAACGTCTGAATAGACCATTAATTCGGCATGAGACTGTAGTGTATGTGCCCTACTAGTAGTATAAGAAATACATGTACTTTTAAGTTTATTGAGTCAGTATAATTAAAGTCTTCAACTGGGAACCACGTCTTCTATTTATTCAACACCTTTCCGACATTACATGGCGACCCTGCCAGGCGGTGCGCTGCTTCAATGCACGCGCACCGCCGCGGCCTACAAAATGATTAAAATTACAATATAATTCAATTATTGAAATTTTCTCAAATTGACACAATTATATACCCTGACTACACGAAATATATACCCGGATGTGATGAAAAATTAATAAATAATTATACAAGAAGAGGCCACAATATTAATAGACTAAAAAATTAAAAACTATAACGTATATGAAGTAATATAATATATTTATCTTTAATATAACAATGAAGGCAACTAAAAAAGAATGATGAGAATAAAAAGTGATTTCTTACATAATGACCAAAGACCAAATTCAAGAAACGGCAAATGAATTTAATATGGAAAGGAGCAGTTGTACTTTAGCAAGCTTTGTCCATTAAGATATGAAAATTAAACCGAAAAGAAAAAAGAAGATATAAGAGGTAACATCGCATCAGCGTAATTTTAAACATTTGATTTTAATTATTTTTTATTATATTTTATATTAAATAAATAAGTAATGCATTAAATATTAAATGTACGGTATTTGCAAGTAACTTGAAAATATTTGTCATATTTAAAATTTTATAATATTTATAATATTTTAGTAGGTATTGTATTAAAAAAAAATACAATATATTATGTTACATTTCACAATGACAAGATTCGTATTAAAGTAAATATATTTTTAAATTCAGCCCAATATTTTTCCGTGATAAATTTTGTTTAAATGTAAGTATACAATTCTGAAAAGGGTTTTATAAAAAAAATCGCTATTATTATAAGTCATAATTATTTTTCTTCTTTTCTAAAGGCATGAAAACCTTAAAGTAACTATATAGATAACCTTTAATAAATGAATGTTTAAAAAGTGAATGTTTTTTTTAATATAAATTTAGCTGTAATAGTGATTACATATTATTTTCTGTAGGTTATACGGTTTCTTAAATTTCTACAAATCCTAAATTTTTATATGTAAATTGAATGTATAACTAATGCTAATATATTTTTCGTTATAATTAAAAGTAATAGCGATGCGATGTAATTATACTATAAACTTCTGTGTCAGAAAATATTTAAAAGTATCATTATAATGTGATAAGGAAAATAATCATTAAAAGAGGTTTTAATAATAATGTTTCTTAACAAAGTTAAACACGGACATGAAAAGTTGACATATATTACCTCATTTTTTTGTACAATATTAAAAAGTATATATTTAAAAGGCGTGAGGAATGAGAGAAGGAATGTTCAAATGTGTGGATACGAATGATTGAATTGCTAAGTTTCGTCAATATTGGACTGATCACCCAAATATTTGATGATGCTTAAAATCCTGGTATTGAAACCATTATGAGCGAGAATTATGACAGTTAGTAATGGAAATGGAGTATGAAAGTATATAAAAGTTACCGATACAGTCAAGTAGATAACAGCAGGTACTATAAAGATAAAGAAAGAAATAAAAATTTACGAAGACAATCAAAATAAAATAAAAGATAACCTTGATAAATAAATCATGGAGAGATACGGGAACGTCCATCACTGGTAAAGCATATAGTCCTCGAGCAGGGTATGTTTCCATGATTGGATGATAAAATCGGAAGTAACGGGTACTAGGGAACAATATCTTCAGTACAAGTGAGATGTGAAAGAATTTCCTCATATTAGTACTGTTGGGGACCAGAGAAGTCTTAAATTTGTTACCCTTAATAATGGTACATAGAGGTCACACCCTTCATTGGATCATAGTGTGAACTTAGTTTTCCACCGTGACAATTGTTGGAGTCCTTTTAAAATGACTTAAAAGTTGACCTCGAGGTTGTGCGCACAACCCAAGGTACAGTTTTACCTTGATATAGTATGATAAAAAAAGTAATAATAAAATGAAATGAATGTTATGAAAATCTAATATAATACCCAAGTAAATGGGGGGCCCATATTTATTAAGTACCCGCGTGATAAATATCACGAAATAAAATATAAATGAAGTGAATTAATACTCCGATTCCCGGTATCTAATTAATAAATAAATATTAAGGAGAGAGAATACTAAAAGAAATAAAGCTAGCTAAAGGTCAAAATATAAGAAAGAAATAAAGTACGTACAACAATTATGAAAAAAAAAAATAGGCCTGACAATCAAAAAGGAATGTAATGAGATGTGTTAGTATGAAATAATTAACATGTGGGGACATGAGAACTATTACATCTAATGACGCCTTTCGCTGTGGGTGGAGCGGAAGGGACTGTCAGACTTTTACTGACTAAAAACCATCCGTGTTCCTTCAGTGCCCTTACGTTCCGGAGCCGCGGTATCTCTTTCGAACAGCCCGCAGCCCCGGCAGGCGTCGGCCCTTGCGGGCCCCTTCACGCTGCTGACAGCTCTTTGAGGCGCGCGTGGAACAAAACGCGCCGTCGACACGGCCTGCCGTCGTTAGACGGACGGACGGCGAGCTACCCATTGCTCGCCGTCCACAGGCCCGCGCCTACGGTGGTCGGGGGCCACGACGTAGCCCCCGACGCCCGGGGCGTCTCCCGCGGCGGCCGGGAAGGAAAGCTGTTGCTCTTTCCCTCTCCCGCTCCGCCACCTCCTTCGCTAGCATCACTGCTTCGCAGAAGGTGGTGACGGCATCCCATTCCGTCTCGCTCCGGACCATGGCTTCGACCAGAGCCGGACGCGAGAGGTCGCCGCCACCTATCGCCGCTACGAGGACACGGCGGTGCTCCGCCCAAGCAGAGCACACCTCCATGGTGTGCTCCACCGTGTCCTCCGGTCGATCCTCGCAGTGGGAGCACCCGGGCGTTTCCTCCCGCCCGATTCGGTGCAGGAACCTCCCGAACACACCGTGTCCGGTGAGGACCTGCGTCAGGCGGAAGGTGAGGACGCCGTGGCGTCTCTCAAGCCACTCCTCAAAGAGGGGTCTTATCGCCGCTATAGTGTCGTGCCCAGCACGGGGTTGCGACAGTCGCTCTCTCCATGTCGCCATGAGATCATGCCGGAAGTCTGTCCGCTGCGCGACAACTTGCCGCGGCAGCGGGGTTTCCCCCCGGCATAGTGCTGCCGCGCGCCATTCGTGCAGGCGCGCGAGGACTATCGCCTCCAGATCCCATGGCGGCAATCCGGCAAGGGGGCTCGCCGCCTCGCGGGAGATCGTGCGGTAGCCGCGAACCATCTTTACGGCAACCACCCTTTGGGGCGCGTTTAGGTGGTGGACGGCAAGCCGCGCCAAACCACGCGCCCACACCGGGGCCCCGTAAAGGGCCATGGACCTCACGATCCCCGCGTAGAGCCTCCGGCAGGAGGCGTTTGGCCCCCCCAGGTTCGGCAGGAGCCGCCTGAAGGCAGCCCCGGTCCGTTCCAGTTTGGGAGCCAAACGTCGGAAGTGCTCAACGAAGTTCCATCGGCCGTCGAGGACGAGTCCTAGGTACTTCAACGTCGACTCGACGCCGATGGATACCCCTCCTACCATCACTGAGGATCCCGGTGGTGGCCTGTTCCGAGGACCATGGAAGTGCATGGCCTCGGACTTGTGCAGAGCCACCTCGAGACCCAGTTGCCGGATCCTCTCAACGACTATCGCAACCCCGCGTGTCATAGTTTCCGCCGCCGCCTCGTACGACCCCCCTTGTGCCAGTACCAGCGTGTCGTCAGCGTAGCAAACTACGCTGACGCCGGTAGGGAGGTCGGCGCGCAGCACCCAGTCGTAACCGATGTTCCACAGGGGCGGCCCCAGAACCGAACCCTGTGGGACACCGCACGACATCTCTCGCCGGTTCCACTCTCCGTTTCGACCGGGGTAGATGACGGCCCTGTCCGTCAGATAGTCCCCGACTATACGACGGAGATAGGTCGGCACCCGGTGATACCGGAGTGCCTCCCTAATGCAGCTCCAGGGCATGGAGTTGAAGGCGTTGGCGATGTCGAGAGACACCGCCAAGACAACCCCCCCCCTGGCCACTGCATCCCCCGTCGTGAGGGCTCTCACGCGCATAATGGCGTCCACCGTAGAGCGCCTCTTGCGGAAACCAAACTGGTGTTCCGCAAGATCCGGCCCCGTCCCCGCAAGGTGCTCGGCGAGGCGGTTTGCAATTACTCTTTCAAAGAGCTTGCCCACCTCGTCGAGCAGCACCACGGGCCGGTATGCGGACGGAGAGTCCGCAGGGCGCCCCGGCTTCCGAATGAGGACCAGCTTCCCCGTCTTCCAACGAAGCGGGAATTGGCCTCTCTCCAAGCATGCGCTTAGGAGCCCCTCCAGTCGGGGCCCGAGAGCCTCCGAGGCCAGGACCCAGGCTTTGCCAGGCAAGCCATCGGGTCCTGGGGCGGTATTCCTGGCCTTGAGCCTACGTACCGCCACTCTCAGGTCTACCCCGGTCCCTTCCGGGATGTCGTCGTCGTCGTCCTGGTGGTCCGCTTCCGGCACCGCGGGTGGCGGAGCCATAGGCGGGGGCGGATGTTCCCCGCGCGCAGGGAACAGAGCGCTCACCACATCCTCCACGAGCTGAGGCCGGAGACTCTGCGTCAGCGGGGGGGCCCAGGTGCGGAGTTTATCCCGCACGATCTTGTAAGGGCGCCCCCACGGATCTCTATCGAGAGTCTCCAGCATCTCCTCACGGGCCCGATCCCGGGCCCGCAGGACAGCCTCCCGGAGGGCGGTCTTTGCCGCTCTGTATCCCTCGTACAGCTCCGCCTCAATGGCTGCCGCATTCGGTGGACGAATGCGGAGCCTGCGATGCCTGGCGTACAGGTGCCGCGCGGCGACACACGCCTCGCGCAGAGACGTCAGCTCACGCGACCACCAAAACACCTGACGCCGGGCGCTTCCTGGCCGGACGCGGGGCATTGCCACGTCACATATCTCGGACATGGCCTCCTGGAACCACCCTGCCTCATCATTGACGTCGGCAGGCCTGTCCGGTGATGACACCCAGGCCTGCACGATCGAGGCTTCCAGGAGGAGCTCCCGGTCCAGCTGCTTCAGCGCCCAACGCGGACCACTCGGGGCCTGTTGGACTGGCGCGCTCGAGGGCTGGGTGGAGACGTCAAACCGGATGTACCGGTGGTCGGAGTAGGTCTCCACCCCCTCCATGACACGCCAGTCAATGGCACGCGGCGACAGAGCGGGGCTAGCGAACGAAATGTCCACCACCGACTCGCCCCGCATCCGCACACACGTGGGGACAGAACCCCGATTTAGGACGACCAGGCCTGTCTCCAGAGCCCAGTCTTCCAACATCCTACCCCGCACATCTGTACGACGAGAACCCCAAGCCAAGTTCTTGGCATTGAAGTCCCCGAGGACAAGTACGGGGAGGGGATTACTTCCGACGACGACTGCTCTCAGCTCTGCAAGAGAGTTGTGAAACTCGGCGAGAGATCGGTTCGGGGAGAAGTACACCCCCACAACGACGAACTCCCCGAACCGTGCTGCTACGCACCCCTGACCCCTCCTGACACCTTCAAGGGTCGGGGTACCGGCGGCGGCTGAAGAAATGATGGCCACTGAGCCGTTAAGGTCCGCCACCCAGTCCTCCCTAGGCCAGACAAAATACGGCTCAGCGACCACAGCGATGTTGATCGACCACTGCGCCATGCTCTGGAGCAACAGATCCTGAGCGCAGGCGCAGTGGTTGATATTCGCCTGGAGGAAGCTTAATGGGGCCGTTATAGGCATTCCATTTCAGCTTCCTCCACGGGGCGCCTCTCTGCGGGCGTCGGTGTCGCGGCGGCGGCGGCAGCGACAGTGACAGCGGCGGCGGCGGCGGCGGCAGTCGCGACTGCGGCGGTGGCCACAGAGGCGGTGGCGGCGGAGGGCCCTCCCCTACCCGCGGCCTTGGCCTTGGCGGGTGGCACGCAGGCCTTGCTTCCGGCCCGGTGATCGGCTGGCTTGCCGGTCGCCGCACATGCATCACAGTGCGGCGTGGCGCAGCAGGTCGCCGATATGTGTCCGGGCTGACAGCAGCGGAAGCAAAGGCCACTGCGGTCAACCTCCGAGGCGCATTTCACAGATACGTGGTGCCCCACGAGACAGCGGTAGCACCTCAGAGGTCTGGGCTCCAGCAGCTTAACCTGCGCTGAGACCCAGCCCACCAGAAGCCTTCGGCCCTCCACTATGGTTTTGGCTGCCGTAACAGGGCAGCACACCGTGGCGGCATGCATACCCTGTTGGTCCGGGCGTATGGCGCCTGACCTGACCTGGTCAGTAGTGCACCCCCCGGACCTGGCGACGGCGGCCACTAACTCCTTCTCCGATACCGAGTCGTCCAGACCCATGATGCGCAGGTCTGCGCATCTGACGGGCCTGGACACTCGGGCCTCGTCCGCGTCCAGGGACGCTCTGAGCTTCGCAGCCAGAGCGTCCGCGGTCGCGCCACTGGATTCCCCGGGGATCTCCAGCATACGGGCCCCCGTCTGGGTGACTTTGAGCCGGAGGCCCCCGGTGATCCCGAGCTCCCCGAGATCCACCGCCTCTTTCGCCTTCGCGAGCAGATCGCGGTAGGTAACGCCTTTCTTTTCCGCGTCCGGCTGTAGTGTAATCACTACAGCTGCGGTCTTCGGGGCGCGGAGCCTAGCCGCCATCTTGCGCGCCCTGAACTGGCGCTGCCGCTCCTGCTCTTTGGCCTTTTTGGCTGCCTTCTTCCCCTTATTTTTGTCCCCGACCACCTGCCAACCGGCTTCAGCCGTGGGAGGTGTAGGGAGCTGCTGGGGCGGTGGCGGCGGCGGCAGCTGGCTTGCCGCTGGCGCTGGCACATTCGCCGCAGGCACTGGGGCTGGCGCAGCCACCACCTGTGCTGCCGCTTTGCCCTTTTTTGTCTTCTCTTTGCCTCTCTTTCCCGTTGCCGGCTTAGCCGGAGCCGGTTCAGCCGGTACCGGTTTTGCCGGAGCCGGCTTTTCAGGGGGAGGAGGGGCAACTGCAGCCCCGCCCGAAGGCTGGCTGGACGGCCCCGGCCTGGATGCGGCAGCTGTAGCCGCCGCGTACGAGACCGTTGCCGGCCTCGCCGCCGTCTTGTTTGCCCCTAGGGGGGGGGCGCAGGACGATGCCCTCCAGCACGGAGAACCGGTGCTGGAAGGCAGCCAGCTCCTGCCGGACCAGGTTCAGAACCTGGTTCTCCACCGGCACGGGCTGGCTTGGGCGCTGCGTCTGGGGCGCCGCGCGAGAGGCAGGCTCACGTAGACTGGCCAGGTCTGCGCGGAGCTTCTCGTTCTCCTTCTGGAGAGTCTCCATGGCGGACGTCAGGCGGGCCACTTCCGCCCGCAGCTCCGCTACCTCGTTTACATTAAGCTCGGCCCCAACAAAGTTGGCCTCCGCAGCCGCCATGATGGAGGCGGAGGCCGCGGGAATGGCCTTTAACTTTGAGGAGGCCTTTTGCTTGTGGGCCACGACCTTGATCGCGGCCTCCACCTCCTTTACGAATCTGGCCTTACGCTCCACCTCGGAGCCGCCAGTCGCATCCGTCTCTTCGCCTGATACCCGAGCCGTATCGCCCGGGTGGCGCCCCTCCTCGGCATGCTTTGCCGCTTGTTCGGCCCTCTGATTGTCAGAGGGCCCCCTCCCCTTGCCTCTCAGCCCGCCCCGCCTGTTGGTGGGGATTTTCCGGGCCGAAGTCTCCTCTTCTCCGGCTGACGACCCCTGGTCGCCATCCCGCCTGGACCGCTTGCGGAAAAACTTACTGGTCTCCGCGGTCCCAGGCTCCACGCGTCGGGAGCTCTCTGAGCCTCCCACGCTGCTCGATGCGGCGTCGGACTCTGTCCCCGCATCGTTCCTCCTCTCCTCTACGTTGCCGTTGCCGGCGGTTTAGGTTTTTTGTTGTTTATTTTCCATATTTGTACCCACGAGTATGGGAGTAATTAAATGTCCACCTTGGCAGTGACCCCTTACCAAGGTAAGCAGATTTAGAGGATTTATTACTCGCCAGGGGGTCTGCAGGTACCCTGGCGAGGAGCGCACTATCGACTGATTTGTTCATAGAACCCCGTCAGCCATCCATCCCCTCGCGGTGCGTCGCCGCTTGAGATTCGGGGTAACTTTTTATAGAGGTTTTCTCCCTCGCGGTCCGGGCGGTTAAGCCAAGACCCTCGGTCCCAATCAAAGCCGCGAGACATGATCCACGACACTTCGATACTGGGATTACGAGACCGGCGGTGACAGCAAAGGATGAATCCTTCACTGTCTGCCCGGAGGCAGGGTAAGTGCACACCGAGCCCGCCCTCACTCCTCTGCTATGCCCTCTGCTGATCAGAGGGTCACGCAGTGGAACGCGCCGTTGGTCCGGGACGGACCCCACCCATGTCAGAATAATTAGCCGTGGCAGTAACCTTCCCCAAGGAGTAAGAATTTCTTCTCATTTCTCGAGGAAGATTACTGCCGCGCCCAGGGTGCACCGGCCCAGTAGCTGCTCTTCCCTCCAGACGTATCGAGAGGGACCCGCAACTACCAGGCACACGTGGAGGACTTCTGACTTCGCACCCCAATAACTCTACCCTAAATTTCTCTTTTATGTTTTTTTTTTGTTAATGTTAAATTTGTACAATTTTAAACCAAATTTTGTATATTAGTTACTAAAACCAAGTCGAAAGTGTATCTACTCTATTATTATAAGTTTCATAACATAATAGTTTTATTTTTTATTATGGACAACGAAACATAAAATTATGTATCTGCTTTTAAAAAAAAAAATTGTCTCGTCTAATGTTAATAAATATTTTGTTTAAACAAACTTTAGGTGTGTAATATTGTATATTTTAAATTTCTGTCTCAATTAAGGTAAACATATTCCATAAAAGTCATAAAATAAAAAAGTAGTAATGTGTTTTCGACTATCATAAATAACTTAAATAATGAATACTCGATAATTCATGTAAACCTATTATCATAATGAAATGTAACTACCTAAACTGTGTAAAGTAAGAAAAAATGTTTAAAACAAATATTTAACTGTTAACTATTACGAAAGGTAAATTATTTTATTCACGGTATCGTTTTATCGTATTATTGAAAGTAGGTACCATCATACGATGGAATCTCAAACGTTTCCATATACGTGTACTTTGGAATTTAAAACAAAGGTGTCATAAATCGCTTACGCAGCTGGGATCACAACATGTATTTTGATCTGTCTGTTGTTATGTTAACGAAATTGATTAGGTACGTTGCTTTGCTACTGACTTCTTTGTTCTGGATATCTAAATATGAAATGTAATCAATTATTTTCGGTAGGTATAATATTGATTGAACTTTCAAATCATAAACTTTTATCTATTACAATTTATTATTTTCTGAGAAAATAGTAGAGTGATGCCAACTTAGTTGTGTGGATTATGAAAATAATTACTTTATTTAATACGATTTTAAAACTCATTATACTATGTTTGCAATTAATTTAAATTTTGTTGTGACCAAAATATTGTGAGCCTCAATCCCTGACCGACAATGATATATGT